TCGCTTAAAAGAAAACTTTTAATGTAGGATATTAGAGAATTAAACCACAAATTCAGAGAGGCATCCCACTTCAAGATATGGATCCTATAAGTCAAGTTATGGAATTTAGAAGTTCAGTTTTGGGTTCCCATGCTGGACCCCATTGGAATTACGGAATAATCGAACATGAAAATGGGTTAAAATTTTGACCCTCGCTTAAAAGAAAACTTTAAATGTAGGATATTAGAGAATTAAACCACAAATTCAGAGAGGCATCCCACTTCAAGATCGGGATCCTATAAGTCAAGTTATGGAATTTAGAAGTTCAGTTTTGGGTTCCCATGCTGGACCCCATTGGAATTACGGAATAATCGAACATGAAAATGGGTTAAAATTTTGACCCTCGCTTAAAAGAAAACTTTAAATGTAGGATATTAGAGAATTAAACCACAAATTCAGAGAGGCATCCCACTTCAAGATCGGGATCCTATAAGTCAAGTTATGGAATTTAGAAGTTCAGTTTTGGGTTCCCATGCTGGACCCCATTGGAATTACGGAATAATCGAACATGAAAATGGGTTAAAATTTTGACCCTCGATTAAAAGAAAACTTTAAATGTAGGAAATTAGATAATTAAACCACAAATTCAGAGAGGCATCCCACTTTAAAATTGGGATCCTATAAGTCAAGTTATGGAATTTAGAAGTTCAGTTTTGGGTTCCCATGCTGGACCCCATTGGAATTACGGAATAATCGAACATGAAAACGGGCTAAAATTTTGACCCTCGCCTTAAAGAAAACGTTTAATGTAGGATTTTAGAGAATTGAACCACAAATTCATTGAGGCATCCCACTTCAAGATCGGGATCCTATAGGTCAAGTTATGGAATTTAGAAGTTCAGTTTTGGGTTCCCATGCTGGACCCCATTGGAATTACGGAATAATCGAACATGAAAATGCGTTAAAATTTTGACCCTCGCTTAAAAGAAAACTTTTAATGTAGGATATTAGAGAATTAAACCACAAATTCAGAGAGGCATCCCACTTCAAGATCGGGATCCTATAAGTCAAGTTATGGAATTTAGAAGTTCAGTTTTGGGTTCCCATGCTGGACCCCATTGGAATTACGGAATAATCGAACATGAAAATGGGTTAAAATTTTGACCCTCGATTAAAAGAAAACTTTAAATGTAGGAAATTAGAGAATTAAACCACAAATTCAGAGAGGCATCCCACTTCAAGATCGGGATCCTATAGGTCAAGTTATGGAATTTAGAAGTTCAGTTTTGGGTTCCCATGCTGGACCCCATTGGAATTACGGAATAATCGAACATGAAAATGGGATAAAATTTTGACCCTCGCTTAAAAGAAAACTTTTAATGTAGGATATTAGAGAATTAAACCACAAATTCAGAGAGGCATCCCACTTCAAGATATGGATCCTATAAGTCAAGTTATGGAATTTAGAAGTTCAGTTTTGGGTTCCCATGCTGGACCCCATTGGAATTACGGAATAATCGAACATGAAAATGGGTTAAAATTTTGACCCTCGCTTAAAAGAAAACTTTAAATGTAGGATATTAGAGAATTAAACCACAAATTCAGAGAGGCATCCCACTTCAAGATCGGGATCCTATAAGTCAAGTTATGGAATTTAGAAGTTCAGTTTTGGGTTCCCATGCTGGACCCCATTGGAATTACGGAATAATCGAACATGAAAATGGGTTAAAATTTTGACCCTCGATTAAAAGAAAACTTTAAATGTAGGAAATTAGAGAATTAAACCACAAATTCAGAGAGGCATCCCACTTCAAGATCGGGATCCTATAAGTCAAGTTATGGAATTTAGAAGTTCAGTTTTGGGTTCCCATGCTGGACCCCATTGGAATTACGGAATAATCGAACATGAAAATGGGTTAAAATTTTGACCCTCGCTTAAAAGAAAACTTTAAATGTAGGATATTAGAGAATTAAACCACAAATTCAGAGAGGCATCCCACTTCAAGATCGGGATCCTATAGGTCAAGTTATGGAATTTAGAAGTTCAGTTTTGGGTTCCCATGCTGGACCCCATTGGAATTACGGAATAATCGAACATGAAAATGCGTTAAAATTTTGACCCTCGCTTAAAAGAAAACTTTTAATGTAGGATATTAGAGAATTAAACCACAAATTCAGAGAGGCATCCCACTTCAAGATATGGATCCTATAAGTCAAGTTATGGAATTTAGAAGTTCAGTTTTGGGTTCCCATGCTGGACCCCATTGGAATTATGGAACAATCGAACATGAAAATGGGTTAAAATTTTGACCCTCGCTTAAAAGAAAACATTTAATGTAGGTCATTAGAGAATTAAACTACAAATTTAAAGAGGTATCCCACTTCAAAATCGGGATCCAATAACTCAAGTTATGGAATCTAGAAGTGCAGTTTTGTGTTCCCATTCTAGACCCCATTGGAATTATGGAACAATTGAACATGTAAACGGGTTAAAAATTTGACACTCGCTTAAAAAACTTTTGACCCTCGCCTTAAGGAATAATTTTGATGTAGAATATTAAAGAATTCATCCACGAACTTATAGAACTTCAAAATTTCTAAGATTTACAAGCTTTTGTTGCCCTTCAGCAGTTTTTGTGAACCAGTTTTAAAAATACCAGTAATTTTAGCCCAATTGAAATTCGATATTGGCCTTAAAACTGTTATATTAAGTGACTTTGGTTTTCTTGTTTTTATAGCTTTTTATATATTATATTTTGCAATACTTACTAGGGACACCTATCGGCAAAATAAAAGTTATACTTTGCGTATATACTTATCTATATGGTTAAAGATAAAATTCGAGTACTGTACTAAAAAGTCGGGTTGTAGTCCTTGGTCGCTAAATATTAAAAACCTGGGATGAGCTTTCTTTCAAACAACTCTTAAAGCTTTGTAAAAGAAAAATGGTTGTAATATAGGGAAAAGTGGGTACTAAAACCAAGATGACTACGAAATACTCGACCGTGAACTTTTATTTATTTTTGATCGAATTTTGTTAAATTTTATTAGAAATTGAAATAAATGTTGTTCTGGGCAATATTTTAAATTATGCCGTAACGTTATAACATACTTTTGTTAATGGTGGAATTAAAAAACTACGCTCAGCAGATTGGCTTACAGTTGTGCACCTATATTACAAAAATGTACTCCGAAATAAATGCACTAATTAAATGACTACCAGGACCAATTATCAAAGTAAAACTCTTATTTATTAGGATTTATTTCACCTTAAGGTGAACACCTTTCCCAGGTGTTAATTGGTTGCGGGCAGATCGAAGTGACCCCTAAATCAATTTCGAACCACATCCAATTATGCATCCGCCGACTTTCGTCGATTGAGCCCCGAGATGTGTACCTTGTGGTTTTGGTCGCTGCACTTATTGATTACCAGTAGTGGACATTTAGCTGCCACCCTGTTTTGGAGGGGCCTTCTTCTGCTTAAATGCGAAGCAGTAAGCGACCTTGAGTACGTGGACTGAACTTCCGGTTTGGGGGAGGGCTCGGTCTCGTCCCTGTCTGAAAATATGAGTCAGATCCCAAGAGCGAGGATAATATTTTCCTGCTTCCTGGCCTTCTTTTTGTTCCATGTGCCCGGAAACGGATGCGGAAGTAATACGCCCACACAGAGAAGGCCAGGTGGCATTGAATTTAAGCTGGTAAACTGGCAATCTGGCCATCTGGCAACCTGGCAATCCGGCAAGAGTTCATCAAGATCTCGTATCCACATTAAGTGGGTCATGGAATACCACATTTACGGTCGCGTCTCCGCCTCTAAAAAGCAAGGATATGAAGTGTGAAGGCGGTCTGCGGCATTAAAACTTTTTCAATTATAAGCGCTTTTCCAGATAAGGCCAAAGAAATAAAGACTGCAGGCCTGAGGGTCGCAGCTTACAATACCCCTTAATCACTTCTTACCGCGCACCTGCAAAACCTGACCCCCTGTGCATCCCCACATCCTTGAGGACGAAAGTCCAATGTAGATCGCACATTGTAATCAGAATCCTGAACCATATCAAGAGTTATTTTTCATAACTATAAAACCCGGGATCCATAGAACTATAACGCCGCAAAACCCCAGGCTGGTAATTAAAATCACCTCAAAGACCGCATATGAGAAGAGATTTTGCCGCAATGTCGCGCAAGTTGTTCGCTATTTAATTGAACAATTTCGTTTGGCATTCGCTGCCGTGATGTTACCTATACTCCGTTAATTGGAGTCCGATCCCAACAAGTAATATGTCCTCGAAAAGGTACATCTATCTACTTTCAGACTGTGTCAACTGTGACATTAGCTCCTTAATCGAGCAACATAAAAAAAACACGTTTTTCGCTAATATCTCAAGAACGATTCTTTAAAAAAAATTTTAAATGATGCCAGCGACTGCAGGATAGTAGTCTAGAAAAGGGGGGTTTTAAAGCTGAACTTGTTTGGCTGTAAACTAGTGTTATAGTCGACATGACACACGGATTCTTGAATGGCTCGAATTAATTGGTTCCACATTTCTTGCAAAATAAAACGTATTGAGGGACAAACCAAAAGCAGAGAAATCAAAGATGGTTCTTCCCTTTCCTTTTCCCTTTTTCCGTCGCCCTGCGTTCAACCCATCAGTTTCTGAAATGACTTAAAGTTTTCTGGGTAATCTGTACCAGGAATGAAGTTGAATTGTGAGGATGAATGCACAGGACATCTCTCCACACTTTCGAGCTGCCACTCAGGGGTCGCATTACGACGTGGACACTGAGCACATAATGCAGGGTCACAAATCACGTGCCAGCGGTTAAGTGGTGCACAGAAAAAAAAGTGGATATGCTATGGGGTCAAATACTCGAGTTATGACTTCTTTACCAAAATAAATATCATAATAATACAACTACTATCAAGCAATATCCAATAGTTTCATCTATCTCTTATTCAACCTGTAAGGTTAATGAAAAGCAGGGAACCCAGCAGGCAGCTCTAGTTCCTTCCGAGTATCAAATCAAAGCGGTGAACCAGTGCTTTCCCCCAAAACGAAGCTGGCAAACTTGTGAAATACGAAACCCCGGAAAATAGAGCAAATTCGAGCATGGAGGGTCAGGGCACCAGTCGTCAGTTCTCCGGCAGCCCAGGGAGCAGCTTCAGCGGGGAGGCCTCCAAGCTGGGACTCCTGGCCCGGCTGGACCGCCTGCTCCGCCGCTGGCTGCCTGGATACAGTTTCATTCGCGGCAAGCGTCGCTCCTCATCGGAGACCTCGATGGCCGGCGAATCCTCCCAGAGCAACCGGCGGGCATACGGACGTAGGGGCAGGCGGGGCGACAGGCAGGAGGTCTACCTGGACACGGGCATTGCCAAGTCGGAGTTCTGCGTCCAGCTGGAGACCCTGCTGCGCAACAAGCTGCTCAAGAAGCAGCAGGAACTGGCCTTGGAACAGCAGGAGAGGAGCCGCGAGAAGGAGCGGGTGCTCAGCAATCCCCTCGAGCACCAGTAGATCCCTGTTCTAAAGTTAATTTTTCATTTCTATATGTGCATATATATTTTTCATAGCATCAATCAATCAATGGCGGCGCCTCATTAAAATTAATTAGAAATAATGACCGGCAAAAACCGGAGTCTGCCATTAGCAGAACGCTTTTCCCCACAAAAGAAATCCCCGGGGGCACCAATGGCATCGGGGAACCTTTTCCGCTTTCCGCTCTCCCTGAAAGCAATTGTTATGTACCTAATGCTAATCAGTCGACAACAATTTAATCGCTTATAATTGCCAAAAGGAGAAAAGTAATGGTTAAAGTGGACTTTAAAATACCCTGTAGTGGCTAGTGATTATACTCCTAGTTATAATTTGTTTTTATATACCTTTTATATATTTATTTTGGGAAAATATCTCAATTACTTGTGTATCCTTCATCATATATGACGGGCCGTAGTCTTTCACGACTTTAATTTATAAAGCTGTTTATTGGAAAAACATAACAATCCTCTACTTTTACAATTACAGGATAATGGATAAACTATCAGCTAACCAGCGACTTGATTGAACCACAAGCAGAACTCCAGGTGAGCGGGGAATATGGGGAGTGGAAACTGGCGGGCAGACCACCACTTGAAACATCGATTTAATAGTTGTCAATTGAGAGGCCATTAGGCCCGACCACAACTATGGGTTATTCAGTTTATTGGGAGGCAGACAGCAGGGGTTGTAATGCCAAAAGCCCTGCTAATGTGCACAGCATTAGCATAGGGTTTTCTATGCCCTCCCCGCCTCCGCCCCCTCTTTTCCGAGCCACTCACTATGCCATCATGGCATCCGAGTCCATTCTGGTCCGTGACAAAGCCCAAACAAAAACATAACGTATACGCACTGCAAACCAAACCGAACGAAGTGTATAAGTGTATCCAAACATGTGTGAGTTTGTCGGGGGGGCGTGTCCTCAGGGATGGCATCATAATTTTGCTGGCCAAGCACTTGAGCACTTGACCATTAACGTAACTTTTGTCTACGTTGCCTTCTCAAATGCACTAAAAAAAAACACTTTAAACTGTTTAAATACAAAAATTGGAAAACATTTTGAGGAATGTCTACTATTAAACATGTTTACAATTTCTGTAGCTGCAATTTTCAGACAATTTAATGATAGCTGATAATCCTGATAAATTCACCTCTTCTAATTGATGAAATATTTAAAAAAAATGGTTAATTTTGCAATACGTTAAGCTCTATTTTTAAAAATACGAACTTTAGAGTTGGTCTATTGATGTTTTCGTAAGTGCAAAAGTTCACATTGTTGACAACTGTGCGGTTTTGATGTGGGTATGCTGGCTCGTTGATCAAGTGGGGTATTCCGGGAACGAACCGCAATCTGTTTGGTTCAGTCATTCCCCCGGGCTTCAGTCCTCTTCCAATATTTTTGCTCGTTGGCAATCGGGGATGTCAACAAAAGTGTTGTCCTACATAAATGGGGAAATTGTTTAAAGGGAAAAAACGGGAAGGAAAGTCTCATCGGTTGCCAGGAGGACCAACAACACAGCTTATATGCTAATTTGTTTCAAAAAAATGTTAAAGTTGTTGAGTTGGGGGAAAATTTTGATACCGGCGGAAGAATCGAAAACCCTAAAGCGACCAAAATCATAATGAAAAGCTAAGTGGTCCACATGTTTCGTAATCTGTTATACATGGAAACCAAAATCTGTTACATGTATAACGACCCTCCCAATAATAAACATTCTTGGAATCTTTTTAATATCATTTTATTTATAATTTCGTTTTTAGGGATTTTCGAAATTTGGATTAAAATTGTAAATTGTAAATTACATTAAATTGTTCGTTCAATACTTAAAGAATTTTCGTATTAGCGAGCATGAGTTATGTTATTTTATGTTGCTCTACGGCAGCAACAATAATTGAGCAAATATTTCCTAAACAAATAAAAGTATTCAAATTACACGATGCAAGTCAAAAATGTAAAGAGAAAAAGGGACAAACATGGGGAAGCTTAAGGGACTTATGGGTACATATTTATAAGGATGGGTTCAGTGGGGCTTACAAAACACATTTACAGAGGCGTATTTAATGATATGTCTTGAAATATATGTACTTGTGCTGTTAAGTTGAAAAACCCGTGGATATGGTAGATATTGTAAGTTATCTTTATTGGTTACAAGCTAAAATTAGTTTTGATTTCCAATTGGACTTAAGTTGAAAGGTAGAGATCGCGACTTTAAAATTGGAGTTAGTTTTCCTCATATATCGATGTAAAGTAAATCGTTTATCGGTTAAGTGTTTTGGAATTTGATTATTCAATAGGCTATATATAATTAATAATCATTTTAATTTGATTAGCTGTGCGTTCTTTCACTTTAAATGTAATAAATTTGATGAGTTATCTTTAGTTTGTTTGGCTAATGAAGGTCAATCGATGTCATATCGAGAATTAGAAATAAGCGATACCCTTCGAGTCTTCGTCGTTCGATTATTGATGAACATCCTTAGCGGTTCATATTATTGCAGGTTGACCGTCCGTGGCTCGAGTATCGGTTCAATTTATTGTTTTATTTTATTTTAACTTCAACTCGTAGACAATCGATCAATTTGGACATGTAACGAAGTCGATTATCGATTAGTCGTAACTGAGAGAAATGGCCGATTTCGGCGTGGGCAGCGGCGATGTGGTATTCTCCTCCTCGTCGTCGTTCTCTTGGGAATCCTCCGGTTCCCCCAAAGCGTGAACGAACTCGTAGAAATCGATGCGCCCATCGCCATCCACATCCACCTCCTTGATCATGTCCTCGACTGGATGGAAGATGGGATTAGGGAGTGTTAGGGGTATGGGCACAATGGGAACTTACTGTCCTCCTCGTCGAGATCTTCGCCCAGACACTGCAGTACCGCTCGCAAGTCGGATGCTGTGATATATCCCCGATTGTGCTTATCGAAAACGCGGAAGGCGTCCCTCAATTCACGCTCCTCCTGATCGGCGGAGGACAGGCCCGACTTGTCTTCATATGTCATGTTCGACAGGATATCAACGAACTCCTCGAAACTCACGTTCCCATCGCCTGAAAGGAAAATCGGAAATTCCAAAGTCATCTCAAACCCTGTTTCTATTCTGGGTTACCAATGATAAAACTATTCTCTGTGTTAAAATTTTCCTATTTGGTTATGGGAAATCTTATAGACATTATAGGTATAGGTGGTAACCTATCGACTACTCACCATCCACGTCGATCTCCTGCAACATCTCCTGCAGCTCCTCGACCCTGGCAAACTGACCCAACGATCGCATCACAGTGCCCAGCTCCTCCTTGGTGATGCAGCCATCGCCGTCCTTGTCGAACAGCCGAAAAGCCTCGCGGAACTCCCGCATCTGTCCCTTCGAGATGCACCGGCGCTTGTCCAGGGACTCGCCTTCGATCAGGTTCGCCCCGTCGCCGATTCCCAGCTCCAAGTCCGAGGGGGCATAGGATATCTGACGGGTTTTCGTCTTGCGTCTGCTGCGGACACTCAAGGCGGTCCGCGGAGGAGGACGTCGACCTCCGGGCTTTGAGGACTGTTCGTAGTCGTCGTAGGACTCCTCCTCCTCCTCGCCGTCATCCTCCTCCTCCTCGTCGTCGTAGTCGTAGTCGTCCAGGTCCTCCTCCTGCACGTGGCTTTGTGCGTAGCTGACCCGCGTGCTCCTCTGCTGGTGGCTCAGCATGCCCTCGCAGGAGCTGGAATCCGTATCCGCATCTGCATCCGCCTGTTCCAAATGCGCAGTGGCAGCACTTCGTTGTGGTTGCTTTTCCTGGGGCGTCGTTAGTTTCTTTCGCGGCCTCTGACGGCGCTGCTCTGTCGATGGCTGCTGCTCCCTGTTGAGGTGTTGGCCACCATCCACCGGCTGTTCGACCTGGTCCTGCTCCTCCCGATCCTGGCTTTCTTGATCCTCCCCCTCGGCGCCATCCGCTGACGTCTGCTCCTCGTCGGGTTCATCGCCACTTACAGCCGCGTTTCTCGTCTATACAAAAGTTATATAAATTAATTATAATTAGTAAATAATAATTTGCCAAACTGTTATAAGCAGCGCTTTCCCATTTCCGACATATTTATTTAATAATTAGTTAGATTCATTTTTAGTAGAGTGTATTTAGTAAATAACATTTTTAAATGTTAAGTGCAAATAGAACACAGTCATAATTAAATAAATAATGGGTTAGTTATAAAATGCTTTTAATTTTCCGTTTAAGCAATTACGATTATCCCAACAAGCAAACATTTTTTATTGTCATTTCTGTTTTTGTTAGCATATGTTTACGCTTTATTCGTATAATGAAAAGAATATTAAGGATATGTATATGTCACTGTTATATTCTAAAATAAAATTCCTGTACTTTTATTCATTTTATTGCGTTAAAGTTGATTGCGAAATGAGGCGGTAGCTTCTCCATCTAAAACCCACTCACCATTAGCTGGCGGAACTCGCGGGCAATTGTTGAACCAGTTAAAAATTTATTAACTGCCGTGAAAAGCCGTTTTCCTTCCAACGTGGCGGCCTTCCTCCCGCTTCAGGGGATCTGCGGCAAAGAATCCTCCTGCTCCTCCTGAAAGGCACCTCCTCCTCCGCTCGCAACCGCTTTCGGTTCACAGGATATGCAAATTCCAAATCGAACGGCGGCTGAAAAAGGGGGCGAGAGCGGGGGACATATGTTAATTAAGCAATTAAGGATGGAAAGCCATTTGCATAGTGGACACGTCCACAAATGTCGGCACTAAAGAGCCAACGTGACCGAGCCCACCCACACAGGGAGAAATTTAAATGATCTATATCTTTTTTTATCTATTTGATATCTGGAAAATGATCAAAATAATATTTCTGTAATTGCATCTATAGGGTATGCAAGTCTTCGGTCAGACGACTAGAACATGTAAACAACCTTTTCCAGGTGGGTAATCTAAAACACATATATTCTTAATAGATTCACTTATGAAAAGCAAAATGGGGGCGCGTAAATAGCACTTTTACCTGCGAATATTAAACCGACATAAAGCTGTTTTTAGCTGTGCATCTGAAACCACCACCATTCACA